CTGAGGGAGGGTCAGCGCTGAGGGAGCGGGCTCTGAGGGAGGGTCAGCGCTGAGGGAGCGGGCTCTGAGGGAGGGTCAGCACTGAGGGAGTGTGATCCCGGACCCCGGTCCGTGTATGGAAATAGCGGATGTAGGTGTGTACTTACGCTGCGAGGAGTGAGGACGTCCTGAGGACTCCTGCCCAGGTCAAAGGAATAGATATAGTCCCTACGGAACAATAAAATGTTACTGTTAAACCAAACCACCGCAGGGACCACACTGTTCACCTGTGGCATTGCTCACCGTCACAGGGACAGCACTGTACACCTGTGGCATTGCTCATCATCACAGGGACAGCACTGTACACCTGTGGCATTGCTCATCGTCACAGGGACAGCACTGTACACCTGTGGCATTGCTCACCGTCACAGGGACCGCACTGTTCACCTGTGGCATTGCTCATCGTCACAGGGACAGGGCTGTTACAGTGTAATACACCTGTGGCATTGCTTATCATCATAGGAACAGCACTGTATACCAGTAGCATTGTTCATCATCAGAGGGACAGGGCTGTTACAGTGTAATACACCTGTGGCATTGCTCATCATCATAGAAACAACACTGCACACCAGTAGCATTGCTCATTGTCATAGGAACAGCACTGTACACCTGTGGCATTGCTCATCGTCATAGGGACAGGACTGTTACTGTGTAATACATCTGTGGCATTGCTCATTCTCATAGGGACAGCACTGTAACCCAATAGCATTACTCATCGTCATAGGGGCAGGACTATTTCAATGTCACACACCTGTGGCATTGCTCATGGTCATAGAGAGACAGGACTGTTATAGGAAATAAACCTCTGGCATTGCTCACCGTCATAGTGACAGCACTGTTGCAATGTAATGGACCTGTGGTGTTACTCATCACCTTAGAGACAGGACAGTTACAGTATAATACACCTGTGGCATTGCTCACCATCATAGTAACAGGACTGTTGCAATGTAATACACCTTTGGCGTTGCTCATCCTCATAGAGACAGGACCGTTACGGTATAACACACCCATGGCAATGCTCATCAACATGAAGGGTGACATTTTACACCATAATACAACCATGGCAGTGCTCATTCCCAAACAGGCAGGAGAATGGCACATGCGGCATTGCTCATCACTGTATCATCAGTTCAAACTTCACTACCATGCATCAGTGGCATTGCTCCCAATCATGGAGGAAGGACTATTAAACTGGTAACACGCCTGGCATTGCTAACCACCTTTGAGGCAGATGTGCTACATCATATTATGGCAGTGGTGTACCTAGTGATCAGAGAAGCAGGAGCATTTCACGAGGGTACGCACGTGGCATTGCTCATCATCATGGTTTCGGAGTGCTTGAATATGTCACATCCATGGCATTGCTCATCAACACAGAGTCAAGAACCCAGTTGAAAGGGTCTCTCTGTGGCACTGTGGGGGAGGGGTTGTGGGGCTCTTGATCTTACCTTGCAGAAATGTACAGTGTTTGGTTGATCCTCAGCATGCGCTGGAAATCGAGGCCTGGTGAGACGGAACCATTGTCGGACACCAAACCAAGGAAGGTGGGATAGTCCCGGGCATCTGAGGGGGGGAAGGGGGATGAGGGGATTAGAGGGAGAAACCAGAGGAGAGTCAGACACCAGAGAAAGAGAGGAGTGAAAAAAATAAGCGTAAAGAATCATATGTTAACAGTATAACACACCCTTGGCATTGCTCATCATCAAAGAGGTATGACTGTTACAGTGTAATACACCCTTGGCATTGCTCATCAACATAGAAGTAGGACTGTTACAGTATGATACATCCATGGCATTGCTCATCATCATAAAGATATGACATGTTACAGTATGATACATCCATGGCATTGCTCATCATCACAGAGATAGGACTGTTACAGTATAATACACCCCTGGCATTGCTCATCATCATAGAGATATGACTGTGACAGTGTAATATACCCCTGGCATTGCTCATCATCATAGAGATAGGACTGTTACAGTGTAATACACCCTTGGCATTGCTCATCATCACAGAAGTAGGACTGTTATAGTATAAAACACCCATTGCAATGCTCATCATCATAGAGGCAGCCCATTACAGTATAATACATCCATGGCATTGCTTATCATCAGAGAGACTGAAGTATGACCGTAGATGGTGACCATGGTAAGAAGAAGAGTGGGGAAGGGGTGGGTATTTGGGCTTGAGGGTTTGGGAGGAGTCTGGCCCAGTGCCCGGAGGCTTGATATTTATTCCCCAGCACCAGCGATATAGCCAAAATAAACAAAAGCCAACATTTCCTGATTCATTGTTGGAGGGGGGAATGGGGGACTCGCTCCCGAGGGGAGTTGG